AAATTAATTAATTAAAATTAAAACTTTAAAGGAGGAAACACCTTGTAAAAAAGGCTGGAGGCGTTGAAGAGATTGCTATGAAACAAGTCTTCCAGAATCCAGAGGACCCTGTAGAAAGGGTGCTTGTGAAATGGGTTGAAATGATGGTAATAGTTAACACCTGCCATGTATACAAGGTTTTGAAGTATGGTACCTATTTGCTTTGTTTAACAATGGATGGGTTATTTTGATTTTCTGAATTATATAAATCATCCCATTTGATTAAATGCCTTATTGATTGTAATGTGAATATCCCATGGGTTGTGGTTACACTGGTCTTAGCACATTTTCCTTTACCTGTGAAGGACAGCACAGTTATCCCAAGGGTCAGAGGGCTCCAGTTAATGTATCCTTGTTGACTCAGTGTTCCGGAGACCCAAAACTGTAGTTTAGATAACATGCCTAAATTTAACCCAGGTTCCTCATTCCAGACCCGAGGGCTCTAGATAATGTGTTTCTATCAATTCAGTGACCCTGAGACCCAAAACTATAATTAACATGCTGCTTCTGCTTCTGTAAACTGCTTTTTTTGCAAACCAGGTTCCTCATTTCAAACCTTGAGATGTAATCAATACCTTTGTGATTTTTGCCTATATAACCCTGGAGCTGCGACCATCTTGTTACTATGAGATTTGGGGAATGGCCCCTCATAGTCCCGGATTGCAATAAATGTGACTCTTTAATTCGACTTCTTGAGGCGTCCTTCTGTGATTCGCGGAGTACATTACAATAGTTTCCTTCCACACTTCAGTACTTCATTTCCTTTTTACAACCAGAACAGTAATTATGGTCTTTTTTTGTAATAAAGGACCTGAGGCTTAAAGATGTGGAGTGCCCTGACCAAAGGTACTGTACATTAGTTAATATAAATAACAAAACCAGGACACTGAGGGGAGGAAAAATAATTTTTCCTCCTACCCTTTTAAGTTCTTCTGGCTGGACTAATCAAATTAACACAAGATAGATTAACAGGAGAAAATGATCAAATTTCTTACTTATGTGCATGCAGAGGTTTCATAAGAATATAAAAGGTGCCCAGCCTGTGTAGCTCAGTGGTTGAGCATCGACCTATAAACCAGGAGGTCAAGGTTCAATTCCTGGTCAGGATGCATGCCTGCGTTCAGGTTCCATCCCCAGTAGGGGGCGTGCAGGAGGCAGCCAATCAATGATTAGTTCTCCTCATTGATGTTTCTATCTCTCCCTCCCCCTCTCTGAAAACAATAAAAATATGTATATTTTTAATACTGCCCCAAAAAAGAATATGAAACTTGAGGACAAATTGGGCAGTTAAGGCTTATATGCCATCTTGAGCTAAGGTGGGGTGGTGTTTGGGGGACTCCAAAGGCAAGGAAGGCAAGTCATGTAGAGACGGAAAAGCAAATGTTTGGTAACTATATGTTTGCTAGGCCATCTTTAACAATATGATACAGAGAGGACTTTGATCAAAGAGGCCATGCTAGGTTCCTCCCTGTCTATCACACACTGGTTTATATTAAACTAGTTATCTGATTATTTCTCCCTTCCTGGAGGAGGTCCCCTATCTAAATTCTTTTAGGCAGTTAGGGGGGAAGGTCAAAGGTTCTTCCTGAGTCTTTTGTTTCTTGAAAATAGCCAGCTTAGCCCTAGTGTCAGCCTGTGGACCAAAGGATGCCAGGTTCGATTCTGGCCAAGGACATGTACCTCAGTTACAGGGTCCTCCCCGGCCCAGGTCCTGGTCAGGGCTCGTGCAGGAGACAACCAATCGATGTGTTTCTCTCACATCGATATTTCTCTCTGTCTTTCCCTCTCTCTAACTCTCTAAAAAGCAATGGAAAAATATTCTCAGACGAGGATAAAAAACAACTAAATTAATTTAATTAAAAAAGAAAATAACCAGCTTAAAATAATCGATACCCCAAAAGGCATATTTTGGGGTGGCAAACTCTGCTTTCCTTTGATATCAAAAGAAAACATCCATTTCCAAAGTCAGACTCTTTACCACAGAGTGTAGAGCTTCATCTTTTTCTTATTCTATGAATCTATGAGGCTAATGGAGGAAAGATATTTTGTGAATACACAGAGGTTCTTATGATAACTTTTGTAATATTAATCCAAAATGGGGAAAAAAGTGAGCAGGAAAACAAATCTGATAACAGGGTTGACACTGATTAATTTGTGTGGGGATAAGGGTGTGTCTTCATTCAACAAGTGTTCTTTTACAGCCTACTACCAGCATAGAGTTGAGGATAAAAAAGAAATGGAAAAGAAGCCCATCATTAAGTTGATTTGTGTGTTTTTTTTAATCTTTTATTTTGAAGAAGTCCACCTTTCAGAACAATTGTAAAACTGTCTGTCCCCTGGGGATCACAGCATTCACCATTGTTTTGAGTGCACCTGGAGATAAAGCAAAAGTACTGCTGAATGGGCTGGGCCCCACCTCTGCTATTTGTTGGGTCAGTACTATATTCCTTTTGGAGGTGAAGAAACTTGAAGAGTAAGAAGTCAAAGGTATTCACCCATTATATATATAATATATTAATTGATTTTAGAGAGAGGAAGGGAAAGAAAAACATCATGCTTGGTTGCTTTCTGAACTGGGTATGTGCCCTGACCAGGAATCGAACCTGCCACTTTTTGGTGTACAGAAGGACACTCCAACCAACTGAGCAACACCGGCCAAGGCAAAGGTATTCACCTATTAGAAAGTGGAGTTAGAACCCCCTTCTGACTGAAATTCCAGGCTCACTCCAATCACACTTGAACCAAATATCATTTTTCTGGAAAGTGTTGACTTTCAGGTTCTCACTGACTTAATAAATCCTAGAAAGGCATTGGTCCTCAGATGTCTCCTGACTTTCAAAGTTGAGTCAATACCCAGACTCTAAAAACAGATCGGAATGTCATTGATGCCACTGAATTGTACACTTAAAAAATGGTTAAAATGACAAATTTTATGTTATACATAATTTACTGTAATTTAAAAAATTGATAGTGTAATATACCAAAAACTATTGAATTGTACACTTTAAACTGGTGAGTTGAATAGTATGTGAATAAAGCTGTTTTGGGGGAAAAAAAACAAAAATGGGTTGGACTTGTTAAACTAAAGTTCTGGACCTGAATTGTAAATATACCTCAGGCTGGAAAACTGGAGAACAGGAAAAATCAGGTTGTAATCAATCCCCTATATATTCACTGGAACTAAGCAACTGTTCTGAAAATGTTGGAAGGAGGAGGAATAATGGGTGTACTTTACCAACAGATTGCTTGAGTCTGTGCTTGGGAAATATGTTCATGAACTCCCTGTTCTCAAGGAGTAGTTGTTCACTTGGGCAGGGTTTTTTTATTCGTTTGCTTGCATGTTATTATGGGAAAAGTAAAATACTGTATATAGGAAAACAGACATAATAGTATAACCACCCAACTTTAACAGTTATCAACCTGTGGCCAGGTTTGCTTCATCTACATCCCTACTCATTTCCCCCATCCAGTATTAATTTGAAGCAGGATGGCTGGCATCTTATCATTTCATTGGTAAATATTTCAGTATGACTAAAAGATAAGAACACATTAAAACACACACACACACACACACACACACACACACACACACTTACCACAGTTTAAAATTTAACAATTCCTATGTCTATGGACAGATGAATGGATTAACAAAATGTGGTATTACATACAATGGAATGTTATTTAGCCTTTTTAAAGGAGCCTTTCTTGCCTGGCCAATATGGCTCAGTGGTTGAGCATCAACCCATGCCCCAAGAAGGCACCTGTTCAATTCAGGCCAGGACACATGCCAGGGTTACTGGCTTGATCCCAAGTAGGGGATGTGCAGGAGGCAGCTGATAGATATTGATGTTTCTCATGGATGTTTCTATCACTCCCTCTCTCTAAAATCAATCAAAACATATTTAAAAAATAATAAAGGTAGCCTTTCTTAAGGCAGAATTTAAAAAAAAATCCTGACATATTCTACAAAATGAATGAACACGAGGACATTTGCTAAGTGAAATAAGCCAGTCACAGAAAGACAAATATGGTGTGATTCTATTATATGAGGTTCCTGAAGTAATCAAACTCATTCAGAAAGTAGTTTGGTTGCCAAGGGCTGGGGGGAGGGGAGAATGGAGAGTTGTTTAATGAATACACAATTTGATTTGCAATAGGAAGAGTTCTGGCGATTGGTTGCATAACAACGTGAATGTACTTAACACTTCTGTACTGTACACTTAAAAGTTAAGATGATAAATTTTGTGTATTCTACCACAAATACAATTATTTTAAATTTAACAGCTCCATAATTTCATGATCTATATCCAATGACCAAATTTCCAATTCTTATGAAGTTAAACTTTTCCACCCCACTGGGGTTATTTCAATTAGGATCCAAATAAAATCCACAAATTGCCATGCATTATGTCTCCTAAATCGCTTTTAATCTATAAATTCCCCTTCTCCCCTGCCTTGCAATTTATTTGAATAAACAATGTCGTTTGTCCTGTGGTTTCTCACAGCCCCTAGATTCTATGTTGCCTGCATCCCATGGTATCCTTTAACACTTTCTTCCAGCCTCTGTATTCCCTGTAAATTGGTAGTTGGACCTAGAGGCCCTGGGCTAGGTTTTTTTTGTTTTTTTTTTCTTTTTTTTGGAGCGGGGGGGGGGGGGGGGTGAGAGGGGGAGGAGCTAGTTTTGATTCAGGCTCAGGAGGAGGCTAAAGATATCCTCCACGGGCTGGCCCAGCTGGACCTGAAAAGGCGAAGCTAAGCCACCATCCAAAGTGCTTAGAGTGACAAAGACGCCGTTTACACGCCTGGGTCAAACACTACAAAGCTGGCGATGCAGGGAAAGGGGCGCGGCCAGGCTTCGTGGGAAAAGCCCTTTGTCCGCTTTCCACGCGCGCATACTCGTCAACAAAATAAACAACCGGAGGGGCGGGGCCTTTGGCCGGAAGTGACGCACGCACGGCCGGCGTCCGAGTTGTCATAGAGGCGGAGAGGAGGCTAGACGGGCGGCTGCGGGGGTCCCACTTCCGGCCATCTCCCTGGGCGACGCGCATTGTGCAGTCAGAAGTGGGCAGCAGCCGGCAGGTCTCCGGTGGTCGGGACCGCGGCGGCGGCCCCGCGGGCGGGATGTTCCGCGGTTTGAGCAGTTGGCTCGGCTTGCAGCAGCCGGTGGTGGACGGCCGCCCGGTCGAAGGAGACGGGCAGCCTGAGGGAGAAGCCCCACCGGCGCCGCGCCCCGAGGCTGTGGCGGAGTCGGCTGAGAGCGAGCTCCTTCACCAGGCCAAAGACCTCGGCGGTGAGTCGCCCGCGTCGGGGTGGGGGAGGAAGGTGTGTCTGTTGGTCGGTCCTCTCGGGACGGGAGAGCTTGGTGAGGACCTGGGCAAAGCCGGGGTTTCATCCCGCAGTCAAATCCCGAACCTGAAGTGGCTCGTGACAGCCACTGTACAAAGTGTAAACATGAGGAGCAGAGCCGCAGAAAGGCGGTGTGGCCTGAGGTCTTGAGGTTTGACAAGGAATCTTTTTTGTTCAGCTCGCCAACTTCCACTTCCACAGCCTCCCCCCCTCAAGGCGAGGCTGTTGGAGAGCTTGAGTAGGTTGAAAAAGTGACTTTTTGTCCTTAGGGCAGAATGTATTTTCGGGAGTTCATTGAGGAAGAGTTACTGAACTCCTTGGTCAGGCTGGTCTCCTTTTTAGGTGCCACGGGACCTTTTTCCTTAAGGCAGGAAAGTAGCTGCCAATTTTTGTCTGTGACGTTCAAGTTTCAGTACTAGGAGTTTTATGAACGCTATTTCCTTTCATCTGTTAAAAACCCCAGGGAGTTGGGAGACAAGCCTAGATTTCTCACCCTAAGGTATAGTCATAGTAAATGGTAGCAGCGGAATTTGCACCTAGATATAATTTCAAAGCCTGTGCTCTTTTCGAGTTTACTGTCTAGATGGGGAGGAGGGTAAAAGTAGGCTTGAAAGATAAACACATGCTCTAGTAATTCTGATTTTAGACTTCAGCGGGCTTAGTCAAAGAAAACGTCTTTGAGAAGGAAGACCCTAAAGCAGACAGCAGTAGGAGAGAACTCCAGCAAAGGTAGGTATTAAATTTAGCAAGCAGCCCTGGCTGGTTTGGCTAGAGCATCAGCCTGCGGACTGAAGGGTCCCGGATTCGATTCCGGTCAAGGGCACATGCCTGAGTTGCGGGCTCGATCCCTGGAGGGGCCGTGCAAGGAGGCAGCTGATCAATGACTCTCTCATCATTGATGTTTCTGTCTCTCTCTCCCTCTCTGAAATCAATAAAAATATATTCTTAAAAAAATTTAGCAAGCATTTAAAAAGAATCTAAATGGCAAGAGCCCTAGGGGAGGCTGGAGCCTGAGAGTGGAGAAACACATTTGAATAAGAAAGGCTCTAACATTAAAAAATTTTACTTCAAAGTGGAGGGGCAGGGAAAACAGACTTAACCTGAAATCATGGCAGTACATAATCTCAGTCCAAGGGCCCCAAACAGTGCACAAGAGATACAAACCTAAGTGCTGTCTATAAAATCACTAAAGAGGGAATAAATTTCCTGTGTAGAAAATTAGGAAGAGCTTAGAGTATTGGAGAGATATGAGAAGATGAATTTGAAAAGAGCAGAAAGGTTATGTTAGGTAGTTGGCATAGATAAAAGTTAGGAAAAGTAGGGTATGGGGATTTACCTGATTTCCTAGAACACAGAGAACCATTTTCATTTTTTAAAAATATATATATTTTATATTTCAGAGATGAAGGGAGAGAGAGAGATAGAAACATCAATGATGAGAATCATTGTGACCTCCTGGTTCATAGGTCAACACTTAACCAGTGAGCCACACTGGCTGGGCCATTTTCATTTATCTTAAAGTGTCAAAAGTGGCTTCTGGCACTAGCTGGTTTGGCTCAGTGGATAGAGCGTCAGCCTGGTTCGATACCAGTCAAGGGCACATGCCCAGGTTGTGCACTCCTCTCCTTCTCTGAAATCAATAAAAATATATATTTTTAAAAAGTGACTTCTGAAAACTTTGTGAGGGCTTTATTGAAACTTCATGTTTGTATTTAGTACTAAAGACCTCCGAATACTTTTTTTTCTTTTGAATACTTTTTAAATAAAGGTGTGTTCAATATGGATGTCTACTTTGTACTTCAATGCTGTGATCTCTTTTCTCACCAGACTCTCCTGATGTTCGGGGAAGCTAAGGTTAGATGGTAGTATCCCCCCACCCCCCACTTTCCATGCCCATATACCTTGTGAATTTAAAGTTTCCAAATAAATACAAGTTCTTTTAGCTCTAATATTTATGTAACTATTAAAAAGATGTAGAGGTTCTAGTTTATGCACAAATCTTTAGAAAGGCAAGAGAGATCATCAGATGTTTGTTATTTCTATGTATTGATCATAAGAGGTATGTTATCTTTAATTTTTTTGTTATTTTGTTTTGTTTTGTTTTTAATCCTCACCCAAGGATATTTTTTTCCCTTGCTTTTTCTTTTAGAGAGAGTAGAAGGGAGGGGGGTTGAGAGAGAAACATTGATGTGAGAGAGACACATTGATAGGTTGCCTCCCACAGGCACTCCAGCCGAGGCTGGGGATCAAACCTGCAACCCAGGTACATGCCCTTGACCAGGAATCGAATCCGTGACCCTTGAGTGCCTGGGCTGGTGCTCTAACCACTTAGAAACACTGGCCAGGGCAAGGTATGTTATCTTTAAAAAGACCCATCTATGTTTTTTTGTGTGTGTTATTTTTTAAATATGTTTTTTATTGATTTCAGAGAGGAAGGGAGAGAGAGCAAGAGAGAGAAACATTGATGAGAGAGACTCATTGATCCACTGCCTCTTGTCCACCCCACTACTGGAGATTGAGCCTGCAATCCAACATGTGCCCTGACCAGGAATCGAACCATGACCTCCTGGTTCAGGAGTCAATGCTCAACCACTGAGCTACACCACCTGGGCCCATCTATGTTTTGAAAACTGAAATTAAATATCTCACTTGGCTGACATGGCTCAGTGGTTAAACATCAACCTACGAACCAGTAAGTCATCATGGTTCGATTCCCAGTTAGACCACATGCCCAGGTTGGGGCTCGATCCCTGGTGGGGAAGCGTGCAGGAGGCGGCCAATCGATGATTCTCTCTCATCATTGATGTTTCCATCTCTCTCTCCCTCTCACTTCCTCTCTGAAATCAGTACAAATATTTAAAAAAAAAAAGATTGGACCCTAAATACTTCTGGTTCATGATGACCTATTTATAAATTTAGGCACCTCACTGGTTATGAGTAGTGGACACACAGGCCTACATTCCATTTTCTTGCCCAAAACCAAATCTTCCCGTTCTTGTCCCTCCGTCCTGATAAACTTAGGACCTCCTATGATAACCTGTTTCAGAGGAGGACAGTTTATAAGGAAACTAACTAAAGAATTTCTATCTTCCTGAAGGCCCATGCCCCAAAGTAACTTACAAATTGGTTGTGTGGTTTTGTTAAAGTCAACCAAATTAGAGCTTTATCTGCACTCTTTCTTTAAAATGAAAAGAAAATTAGTACCTAGCCGGTGTGCTTAGAGCGTTGGCCCACAGACTGAATGGTCTTGGGATTGATTCTGGTCAAGGGCAAGTACCTTGGTTGCAGGCTCGATCCCAGGCCCTGGGTTGGGACATGTGTGGGAGGCAACCAATCTATGTATCTCTCTCACATTGATGTTTCTCTCTCTGTGTCTCTTTCCCTCCTACTCTCTAAAAAAATAATCAATGGAAAAAATTATCCTCAGGTGAGGATTAACAAGAAAAAAGAAAAATGGTACCTCTGAGAGTATTAAATATCTGAGTTATTCACACAGTTTAAATAAGTGGGAGGTGGCCAAAGATGAGCATTGGCTTTTTCAAAACCTTCCTTAAGGCCAGTCAATGCCCATGGAGGAAAGGCTAGCTCCTGTTCCTTCTCATTTAAAAGTAGTATTTGCAGTGGAACTGTGTTAATTAGGTCACCCTCCTTTTTTCCTATATGGAAAGTGCAGCTAAGAGGACTCCAAAAGTTAGTCTGTACACAGGATAATACATGTCCACTTTCATAAGAAGTAAAATCCCTAATTCAGTTCTAATGACAAACAAAGATTTACCACAAGAAGGGCAGTGCAAATGGTCAAGAGCTTGGATCCCATTCTATCCTATATAATAAAAGGCTAGTATGCATATTGACCGAACAGCGAAACCACATGTCACTATGATGTGCACTGACCACTAGGGGGCAGACGCTCAACGCAGGAGCTGCCCCCTGGTGGTCAGTGCACTCACACAGGGGGAGCGCTGCTCAGCCAAAAGCCCTGAGCAGGGCTCATGGCTGGTGAGTGCAGCGGTGGTGGCGGGAGCCTCTCCCACCTCCACGACAGCGCTAAGGATGTCCACTTGTGGGCAGACATCCCTTTCGCAGTCTGGGGCTCTCGCAGTCTGGGACTCTTCGCTCCTTACCACCCGCCTGCAGCAGTGGTGAGAGCCACCACCGCTGCGCTCGCCAACCGTGAGCCCAGCTTCTGGCTGAGTGGCACTTCCCCTGTGGGAGCGCACTGACCACCAGGCGGCAGCTCCTGCATTGAGCATCTGCCCCCTGGTGGTCAGTGTGCCTCATAGTGACAGTTGTTCGCCTGTTCGGTCAATTTGCATATTAGGCTTTTATTATATAGGATCATTTGCAAATTGCAGAAAATCCAGCTCCAAATTATAGAAAGTCCCACAACAGAGGCTTAATGAGAAGACCTCGATTGCTTGTGTCCAGGGTCCCCAAAACCAGCCCCAGGCTTGAAGAGCACCCATCAAATTGGGGTTTCTTTGTCAAGGTGGAAGGAGATAGGCTATTGGCTAGGCAGTCAGTGGGGTAGATCTGCCTCTGTCATAATGGACAAATCACTTATCCTTTGTGAGTCTTGGCTTCCCTATCTGTAAACTGGACAGATTATATCTACTCTTCCCAGGATGGTTGTGAGACTAAAAATGACAATTAAAATGAAGATAAAATGACTACATTCAATGATCCTAATCTGCCCACTCCTTCCATAAGGTTTTGGAGGTGTGCTCACTCACAGATGTTTTACTTCCTTTTCTTCCTTGGCTCAGACCTTCTCTTGTGCCTAAGTTCCCAAAGTGGACATTGTACTCCTGTTACTTCCTGTTAACTTTTTTTAAAATATATTTTTATTTATTTCAGAGAAGGAGGGAGAGAGAGCTAGAAACTAGTTAATAAAAATTATCTCTTTGCAAAATTAATAAACCACTTCTTGCCGAAACCGGTTTGGCTCAGTGGATAGAGCATCGGCCTGCGGACTGAAAGGTCCCGGGTTCGATTCCGGTCAGGGGCATGTACCTGGGTTGCGGGCACATCCCCGGTGGGAGATGTGCGGGAGGCAGCTGATCGATGTTTCTCTCTCATCGATGTTTCTAACTTTCTATCTCTCTCCCTTCCTCTCTGTGAAAAATCAATAAAATATATTAAAAATAAATAAATAAACCACTTCTTGTCTTTATGAGCTTCTTACCTAAAAATCTCTTGTCATGCTCTACCACTTCCCTCTTTCTCTGACTTCAGAATCCAGTCCACTCTCTAATTACCCCTGGGAGACCTTCTTCCTCCTTTCTCTGAGTGCCTCTCTTTAATGAATACTAGTAATTGTGCTCCTGTGGTTGTCTATAAGTTTTTTGTTTGTTTAGAAATAGACATTCCTTGAGGGCAATAACTGCTTTCTCTGTGTTCAGTATGTATAGTGTACTTCACCCATGGAGTCATTAAAATCTGAGAATTAAGATTATTATGCTAAAATACCAGTTTTTAAAAATATATATTTTTATTGATTTCAGCAAGGAAGGAAGAGGGAGAGAGAGGTAGAAACATCAATGATGAAAGAGAATCATTGATCAGCTGCCTCCTGCACGCCCCTACTGAGGATCGAGCCTGCAACCTGGGCATGTGCCCTGATAGGAATCGAACCATTAGCTCTTGGTTCATAGGTTGACGCTCAACTGCTGAGCCACACTAGCTGGGTAACAAGACAATTTCAAACAGTTGCTGGGGGAGAACTGGGGAGTTTGCTAAGGGTCTTTGAAAGAGATGAATTAAAGGTCCAGGGTGGATGGCCAGTCCACCAAGAAAGTGGGGTACTGGCAGTGCTTCTCATTTTTTGTGTCCAGTCCTAATTAACAAGGAACATGCCCTATGGCTTAAGATTCTTACAAGAACTCTTTAAGGGAGAAATTATAAATACAGTAACCATTGTACTGGAATGGAGCATAGACTCTTTTTTTTATTCTTTATAGGCTATCTAATTAACTTTGCGACTGCTGCTACAAAAAAGATAACTGAATCAGTTGCTGAAACAGCACAATCGATAAAGAAATCAGTAGAAGAAGGAAAAATAGATGACATCATCGATAAGGTACATTTAAATATCTTTGATAGTAGAAATTTATGAAATGCATTAACTAATATCGTCCCTTTTTCTTATGAATTTTATTAACCCAAGTAGGATATCATATTCTTCTTAAAAAATATGTTTTTATTGATTTTAGAGATAGAACATCGATGAGAGAAATACTGCCAGCTGCCTCCTGCATGCCCCCTTTTGGGGATCGAGCCTACAACTTGGGCCTGTGCCCTGACTGGGGATCAAACTAGCGACCTCTTGGTGCATGGGTCAATATTCAACCACTGAGCCACACCGGCCAGGCTAGGATATCATATTCTGATAAAAATATTAATAGTTGAGATTCTTGGATTTTTTCTCTTTTTATGTAACAAGTAGCTATGATATAAATGATGTGATTTAAGTAACCTTGATTTTTATGTTGTCTAAGGTATGTTGATACTTTCGAGTAATACTAAACTTTTCATATTATGAGTTTAATTTTCAACTATAACACTTCATAATATATTTATGCTTTTCATGATTTGTTTAATTTTTTAAAGTCTTAGCCCATTAGTGACAGTCCTTTTAAGACTCTAATGGGTTGAGTTTGTTCATTTTTTCCAGTGGTGGATTTTATTTATGTTGGTAATTATTTGAACTGAGGAGGTCATCAGTTAAACTTTAGATAGCTTGTTATTTAGATACTTTTGTTGTATGTACTATTTGTTAGAGTGATTTGACCTATCTTATTTTTTTGAATAATACAGAAGTTCAGTTTTTAACTCATTTTTGCATTTGAAAAGATAATTTATCATAAAAGGAGGTTGTATACTTGAAATTCAAAAATGTTGACAATTCCTTCTTATAGATAGGGTGAACTATCACTTTTTTAGCATTTTCATTTGGAGAAAATGAATAAAATATCTCAAATAGACTTCACAAATCTAGTTTGAATGTAGTTCTTTCCTAATAATAAAATTTTCAAGGTAATTTGACTCTTTATGTATTTTTTAACAGACCATTATAGGAGATTTTCAGAAGGAACAGAAAAAATTTGTTGAGGAGCAGCATACCAAAAAATCAGGTATAGTATAGGTTTGTTGTACGCGACTTACTTACCTGCCAAATTTTATTGAGCACTTATTACATGCCAGACATTTGGAAATAATCTCAATATACAGAAAAGTTGCAACAATAAAACTAATACAGAAAATAACCGTATACCTTCTATCCAGATTGTTAGTTTTCCAGCTTTAGGAAATTTAACATTGATATAATACTCACATTCAAATTTTGTCATTAACCCAGTAAAATCCTTTATACATTTTCCCCCTCAACATAGCATCCAGTCCAGGGATTGCATTTTTTGTCACATCTCTTAGTCTCCCTTAATCTGGAACATCTCCACAGCCTTTCTTTCTCTTTTATGACATTAGTGGTTTTGAAGAATACCCCTCCTTTCTTATTATTAAATAGACCATTTCTCATTTGAGTTTTGTATGATATTTTCTTGTGACTAGATTATAATTAGATGCAGATTATGTGTTTTTGGCCAGAATACTGCATAGATAATGTGTCTTTCTCAAGATAGCACATTTGGAGACCCACAATGGCCATGTCTCTGTCGATGGTGATGTTGATTTTGGTCACCTGGTCAAGGTGTTGCCCAATTTCTTCATTGTATAATTCAAGTAATTTTTTTTTACCAAATACATATATGCATAAGATTGATGCATTAAGTCTGGGAATTATGCCCTAGCCGGTTTGACTCAGTGGATAGAGCATCGGCCCTCGGACTGGAAGGGTTCCGGGTTCGATTCCAATCAAGGGCATATATCTCAGTTGCAGCTTCGCCAGCCCTCATCGGGGTGCATGCAGGAGGCAACCAGTCGATGTTTTTCTCTCACATCAGTGTTTCTCTCTGTCTCTCCCAGTCCCTTCCACTCTCTCTAAAAATCAATGGGAAAATATCCTCAGGTGAGGATTAACAAACAAAAAAAAGAAGTCTGGAAATTATGATGAATGGTCATATTTGGAACTCATTAGTAATTTGCTAAAATGGTTGTATGGAAACGCTTATTTTTTCAAACCACGATTGCAGAGTAACCCTTGTAACCTGTTTGTTTGTTTTTTTCCTTTTCTTTTTGGCTGTTAAAAACCTTTCAGAAGCAGCAGTGCCTCCATGGGTTGATAGTAATGATGAAGAAACAATTCAACAACAGATTTTGGCCTTATCAGCTGTAAGTATCTTGTGATATTCTGTGTAGAAGTACTTTCTTCATATCACAATTTTATCTTTAGCAGATGTTTTTCTTCTATACAATTTTTAAAATCTTTTAAGTTGTTAGGGATGTACATATCAACTTTCACTACTTTTTTCACTAACTTTTCTTATAATTTTTATTTATTGATTTTAGAGAGAAAGAAAAAGGGGGTAGAAAGAAAGAGAGAGAGAGATTTGTTGTCTCACTTATTTATGCATTCATTGGTTGATTCTTATATGTGTGCCCTGATCAGGGATCGAACCTGCAGCCTTGTTGTTTCGGGATGATGCTCTAACCAACTGAGCTACCCAGCCCGGGCTTTTTTCATTAACTTTTCATTTGTTTCTCCATGAGTTATTTTTTCTTAATGGAATAGAATAGCCTATTGCAAAGAAATTTTTTTTCAGCCTTAAAAGAATTCTTGTTATTAAGATGGATAATCTTTTGAAATATGCTATCATACAAAGTTTCTAGACAGCATTCTCATTCTTCTGAATGAAGAGATTATATTCTAAGTTTCTTTTTAACTACTATATGTATTTGAAACTGAAATTGAAAGAAATAAAATTCCATATGCTAGCCCACAAAATTGGGATTTCAGAGTGAACATAGCATTACTAGTTAACAGTTGTGTAGACCTGATAGTTTCAGAAATCACTTTCAGCCCTAGCTGTTTTGAATCAGTGCATAGAGTGTCGGCCTGTGGACTGAAGGGTCCCGGGTTCGATTCCAGTCAAGGGCAAATGCCCGAGTTGCAGGCTTCATCCCCAGTGTGGGGTGTGCCAGTCAATGATTCTCTCTCATCATTGATGTTTCTATCTCTCTCTCCCTCTCCCTTTCCCTTCCTCTTTGAAATCAATAAAAATATATTTAAAAAAAGAAAGAAAGAAACATCAGTGATGAGAGAGAATCATTAATTCGCAACCTGGGCATGTGTTCTGACCAGGAATTGAACCAGGACCTCCTGGTTCATGGGTTGACGCTCAGCCACTGAGCTGTAACCAGCAGGGCTCAAGCTTTGTTTTTACCTCACTTTTCTTTTTAACTAGTCATAAATGGAACCTCAGTCTAGACAACAAATAAACTGGGCTTTGCCTCTCTTCCATTGCCCTCCCCTAGGCCATTTTAAGGTTTTTCTTTCCATTAGTAAACCTTTTAAAAACCTGAGCATCCATTATGAGTTCAGTGGGAACACCATGTATTGCTTACCATGTTACAGCCAAATTTGACACTGACGTTACACACCTGCTTATCCCTGAAAGGAATGGGAACAGTGAGTCATTATCATTTGAGGGCAAAAATCATATACTCACCAGTCAACTCTCCCAGCTCCTTTGACCCTCCCCCCCAAACCTGTTCCTCTCCTTATCTTCTCCATCTCAGAATACGACTCCAGTTATTCACAAACCTAGGGGTCTTCTTTGAGGCATACTTCCCCTCCCCACTGCCCCCTGCTCCCAGTCCTTTCAGTGCTTTGTTCAGAATATAGCTTTAGTTCACTTCTCTGCCGTCACCACTGTGGTCCTGGTGCCATCATCTCCTACCCAAGGCATCCCAACTATTGTCCCCTCCTTGCACCTTTCCAGTACAAGCTTCCTTCAGCAGCCAGAGGGGTCCACTTATTGCATGAATCACTTGGTGTCGCTTCCCTACATAGACCCTTGTAATGGCATCTCACCTCTCATAGATTAAGATCTAAACTCCCTCTGCAGCTTCTAAGGCCCTGAGCTTTACACATAAGCCTCTCCTCCCTCACGTCCCACTGCGTTGATTGCCAGCACTCTAGCCACGGTTTCTTTCCATTGGACAACCAGGCCCATTAAGAGGCTGCTATAGAAATCTTGGTGAAACTTTGGGGGCAGTTTCAGGCTTAGAAATGTTTACATTGGAAGGTAAAATAACTAAAATCCATTTAGGCTCAGGTTCTTGCTTTATTAATGAGGAATTCTCAAAAAACAAAAATATTTTAAAAATCCAGCATGAGCAAGATGAGATGAAACTGGTGCGTTTAGTAGTAACATAAACTGTTTAGATCTTTCTAGAGGAAAGTTTGGGCAGTATGTATCAAAATAATCCTACTCTTGGACCAGAAATCCCACTTCTAGGAATTTAGTTTAAAGAGGTCACTTTAGATGAGAATCTTTATCAGAAAAGATTAGAAACAATGTGTTGACTACCAAAATGGGCCTGGTTGAGTAAATTATGGCTCATTCCGTGTAGACATAGCTGTTTTGGAGATGGGAAGATGTTCGTGACTCAGAGGGTAAAGGGGAAACAAGTGATCCACAGCATGCAGCATGTCTTTCTATTTCGGTCAAATTATAATTGTGCAGATACTGTATGTATGCAGAGAGACATGGCCAAGAGGGTGTTCATGGGTTGTCCATGGATGGTGGGAGTTTTGACTCTATGCTTTTCTTTCATGTTTTGAATTTTTTAAAAACAGGTATGTATCATATTTACAAACAAAAGAGGTATTTCTTAAAACAAGAAATAGAGTAGAAACAGTCCATCTTAATGGTTTGAGTAGTTCCCAATACCAGCTTTTTTTTTATTGTTACTAGAGGCCCAGTGCACGAAATTCATGAACTCGGGGGGGTTGGGTCCCTCAGTCCGGCCTGCACCCTCTCACAGTCTGGGAGCCCTCAGGATGTCTGACTGACGGCCTAGGCCCGCTCCCCACTGGCAGTTGGACATCACTGTGGAGGCGGGAGAGGCTCCCGCCATCGCTGCTGAGCTTGCCAGCCATGAGCCTGGCTTCTGGCTGAGCAGCACTCCCCCTGTGGGAGTGCACTGACCACCAAGGGGGTAGCTCCTGCATTGAGTGTCTGCCCCCTGGTGGTCAGTACATATCATAGCAACCATTCATTCTGCCCTTTGGTCGATTCGCATATTAGCCTTTTATTATATAGGACTAGAAGCCCAGTGCACGAAATGCGTGAACTGGGGGATATGTCCCCTCGCCCAGCCTGCACCCTCTCCAATCTGGGACACCTCAGGCCTAAACGGGCAGTCAACATCCCTCTCACAATCCGGAACTGCTTGCTCCTAACCATTCGCCTGCCTGCCTACCTGATTGCCCCTAACCGCTTCTGCCTGAAAGCCTGATCACCCCCTAACCGCTTCCCTGCCAGCCTGATTAACACCTAACTGCTCTCCTGCCAGCCTGATCACCCCCAAACACCCTCCTCTGCTGGCCAAGTTGGTTCTGATTGGTCAGTTTCTATGCCAGTCAGCGTCAAAAGCTCTGCCTCCTAGGCAGCCATTGGCTCCTCACACTTCACCCAGATTTGGTTCTGATTGGTTGGTTTCTATGCCAGTCAGCGTCTCTGGGCCTATCAACGGGGCCTGATCAGAAAGGCAGGGCTGATCAGCAGCCCAGGTGGAGGCCTGAAGAGAAATGGAGGCGTGGTTGCTGGAGAGAAAGAGAGAGGCAAGTGCTGATCAACAGCTGCCACAGAGGCTACGGATCAGACCCTGCTTCTCTCTTCAGGCCTCTCTCCGGGCCTGATTCACAGCCCCCTCAGCAGTCAGTGCTGGGTCACCATGGCAACCCAGCACAGACTGCAGGACTGACTTCTGGTTAGTCGAGCCTCTGGTTGTGACGGACCCAGGGTTTTTATATATTAGGATTATTATTATTTTAATATATCTTCATTGATTTCAGAGAGGAAGGGAAAGGGAGAGATAGAAACATCAGTGATGAGAGAGAATCATTGATCAGTTGCCTCCTGTACATCTCCCACTGGGGATCAATCTGCAACCTGGACATGTGCCCTGACTGGGAATCGAACCGGGATATCCTGGTTTATAGGTCAATGTTCAACCACTGAGCCATGCTGACTGGGCTCCAGCAGCAGTTTTTTGCCTTAGTTATTAATGCTCAGTCTATAGGAAAGGGGGAGATTTGGAGACATCACTTTATACACTAATCAGCAGGGTCATGGGCCATGTCAGAGGAATTCCAAGCCACCCTCATTCCCTAGGAAATGTGCCCTATCCAGGGAAGCTTTGCCTTTGTATTTTTCCTTTCGTTTCCTTCTTGGCTAATGAGAAGTGGCTAACTAAAGAGAGACATGAATGTCACAGCTCTTCCAGGTTGGATGTAGTGGCCCGGGTGCATTGGAGAGTCACAGTAATATCCTGTTGGAGTTCCATGTTATGTGCTGACTGTGGGTCACAGGCCATATGAGGCTCTTCTGTGAAGGAGGTGCTTTCTTTAATACAGTCTTGGGTTAAATTTCTTTTTAATGAGACTCCAATTTTAATACACTCATGACAAAATGTTTGTATGACATTTTATTTTGTCAGTGTGTTGACTGTACCTCTTAATGGATTGTGGATTCTCTAACCTTTAGTTTAAGGCGTCTAAACCTGAGTGCAGCAGCATGAAGAATTCACTTAAAGTTGTTATTTGTCAGATATTTTTAAAAGGAGATTGATATCTGGCAAGGCAAGGGAGAGTTGAGGGGAGCCTGTTATTCACTACTAGAGGCCCGATGCATGAAATTCGTGCAAGGGGCTCGGCCCTCGCAGCCCCGGCTGCTGCCACCCTCTGCAGGGCATCAATCCTGGAGCCCCCCGCCCCAATCTATCGTCCCACAGAGGGTGGCAGCAGCCAGGGCTGCAAGGGCGGAGGCAGCCGGGGCCGAGGCAGCCCCAGCTGCCTCCTATCTCCAGCGGCCCCACCTCCCGCCCACTGGTCGTTCTGGAAGGTGTTCCACTGTTTGGTCTAATTAGCATATTAACTCTTTATTATATAGGATCCTCCTGTCCACTGCAAGCATCCTAGCACCACACCTTTTCCATTGGAAACTTACAGGAGGCAGTTTGCAGGAGTGAGCAGCTGAGAGGGTTATATGAGAAAGGTGGAGGCTCTGCATAAGTTCATAGTGGCAGGATCTCTATATCTTACTGTCCCTGTAGAGTTGTCACACCTGTGACAGTGTTCATCACGTAGAGTAAAGTCCTAGATTAAAGTGGACAGAGCTTGCGAGATGCATAGCAGCCCATTGGGGTTGTACTGGATTGGGAGGAATACTCCACCCCGGAAGGGGAGGCCTGGAGTCCTGACCCTGCCACTCGCTATAGCACATACCCAACCTTAGACAAGCCATTTTGCTTCCCTGATCCATTTTCCTCATCTGTAAAGTGAGGATGAAAGTGCTCACTTCACAGTGCTGTGACAAAGAAGCCAGAATGTCGACTATGGGCCCAGGCCCTAACACTATGGCTGAGCGAAGACTTGTTGACTGAAGCAACAATAACAGGCCTTTTTCCAGCCTGGCCATGCTCTGTGAAGAAGCTGCACTATGTCTCTCTGTCACCATCACATTCCTGGGCCCTGACTGACCTGTGAAGCTTTGCAGACATTTGTCAGGCAGAGCCTAGGCCTTGGCCTTCTATAGAGAGGTGTGAGACGAATGCAGGGTCTATACACACTTGAGAAGTGAATTGCATGGTGGGTTTTGCTTTTCTTTTTAACCCTTTGCGGTCGTTTGTCTACTCTCAGCCACCAGAGCTTTTTTACTGTTCCGGTCGTATGTCTGCTCTCAGCCACCACAGCAAGGAACCGTACGAATCTTAACTCCATTCATGTATCAGTTCATAATTTCTCGGAAAGCTCTTAAGTGTCTAAGCCACCTTGTCACGAACCAAAACATTGCCCCGACAAATCGGAGATATCGAAACAATATAAACAAACGCAGTCGTTCCACACTCGCCAGTCACCTTTTGAGAATGAAGAAATCGACAAGCTTTGGAGATACTTCACAGAATTTCAAATAAAGCTTTACAAATTACGTTTAACTGTAATTAGGCATTCTTGCTTGTTAAGATATTTCAAAATAATACTCCAAAATGGCAAAAAGAAAGTTACCGAAAGAAGTGTACTGCAAATCTGAAAGTAACGATGAGTTTTATTTTGGCACCTTGAATACTGACTCTGACGTACAAAGTGATAACGTTTGTAGTGATTCTAATAGTAGTGACGTAGTTCCAAAAAAGAATTAATAAATCTTGTTTATCCTTCATAATCTTGCATGTTATGTATCACTGCTCTTTCAATGGAAATTAATTCCGACCAGTACGACACCCATGTCCAAATTAACGACTGCAAAGGGTTAATGTTTTTATTTTTATACGGGAAGGGAGAGGGAGAGAGAAATAGAAACATCAATGATTAGAGAGAATCATTGATTGGCTGCTTCCTGCACACCCCAGGGGATAGAGACTGCAACCTGACTATATGCCCTGACTGGGAATCAAACCGTGACCTCCTGGTTCATAGGTCAACCACTGAGCCACGCCAGCCAGACTTGCTTTTCTGATCTGACCATCATGGTTAGCTGATTTCAATTTTGGGTTAGAATGTTTCTAAGATTATCTACACTATTTTTCACATACCTAACAGTGCCCACTAAAACAAACGAGTTCATATGACTTCAAACTATATAATTTTAACTAATTGCATAATTGAATTTCCTCAAGGCTCTCCAGTTGAGACTTAAAAATATATGAAAGGATCGGTCTTTCTCTGCTCTCTCTGAAGTGGACAGGTTAACAATAGCTCAGTGGACTCTGCAGTGAAGTCTTTAGGAGAATTCAGTATTCATTAAATCAGTGATGCATTGGTACATATTAATTGTGTGTTGTGGTTTTTCCCCTTTTCATCAAAGGACAAGAGGAACTTCCTTCGTGATCCTCCAATTGGCGTGCAGTTTCATTTTGACTTTGATCAGATGTATCCTGTTGCCCTGGTCATGCTCCAAGAGGATGAACTGCTGAGCAGGATGAGATTCGCCCTTGTTCCTAAACTGTAAGCACTGTGTTTGCGAGCCTGAGTGGCACTGCTCACAAAACGTGTATTTGCGTTTTCTTTCTTTTTTAAAAAATATATTTTTATTGATTTCAGAGAGGAAAGGAAAGGGAGAGAAAGATAGAAACATGAATGATGAGAGAAAATCATTGATAGGCTGCCTCTTGTATGTCCCCTACTGGGGATCGAGCCCACAACCTGATCATGTGCCCTGACCGGGAATCGAACCGAGACCTCCTGGTTCATAGGTTGATGCTCAACCACCTGAGCCACGCTGACTGGGCTGTATTTGGGTTTTCTAATGGCCTCGGTGATGTGCACAGTATCAGGGAAGAATTATGGAATGGGGGCCAGGAAAGTCTCAGACTCTTTTCATAAAAATGGGCTCTATGGCCCTTCAGCACCATACACACACACACACACACACACACACACACACACACACACACTCTCTCTCTCTCTCTCTCTCTCTCTCTCTCTCTCTCTCTCTCTCTCTTTCTCTCACACACACCCACACACACACACACACACAGGGTGCCATAGAATCAAAATGAAGAGTGGACTTTTAGGAAATTTGGGGTGGGGCTGAGATGTGCTGTTTCCTCCCTGCTTCAAAGGTAGAGTGCGTTTAAGTTAACATCTGTGAGGCCCATCAGGACCAGCTGCTGCCTTCCCTGCACTCTGCTCTGCTCCCAGGCCACAGTGTTCTTGTCCTCTTTCCCACCTGAGGCTTTTCCTCTGCCCAAAGGCACTGTCCCCTTGGCAGACGGCTCTCCTAGACACTAGAGCAAAGTGAGCCTGGAGCAAGTTACTGTTGCGGTGGGGGATGGAGGGAAAGCAAAGGTGAGAGACATAAGTAAAATCAGAGTGTCTAGGAAAAATTAAAGGGAAGCTATCCTAAAACTTCCAGGAAATCTCCACCAATGAAGCAAAGAAAAAAAAATGCCTTTATTATTCTGTGAGCAACAAACCAAACTGAGTTGGGGGTCTCAGACAGTTCGCTCATATGATTGCAAAGACAGACAGAAACTCCCAATTGGAGAGGGCTCCCCTGAGGGCTCCCAGATTGGAGAGGGTGCAGGTCTGGCTGAGGGACCCCCACAACCCCCCAGTGCACGAATGTCGTGCACCAGGCCTCTAGTTGAGTAATATAATTCTACTTTCCTACTGCTAATTCTGCTAGGGATGCTTTTAGAAATTAGGGTTGATTTTATAAGTCTTTATCAGTTAGAAATGCTTACTGAAGTATTTATAGATGAAAGGATCTGATATCTGTCATTGCCTTAAAATGTTCCAACCTCCTCCCAAAGAAAAGTGTTGTGTGCAGGGGAAGAAGCATAGATGAAACATGACTTGCAAAATGGTGGCATTTCTTTTATTTTTTTAAATATATTTTTATTGATTTCAGAGAGGAAGAGAGAGAGAGAGAAACGTCAGTGATGAGAGAGAATAATCAATTGGCTGCCTCCTGCACGCCCTCTACTGGGGATCGAGCTTACAACCCAGGCGTGTGCCCTTGATGGGTATTGAACCCGGGACCCTTCAGTCCACAAGCCAATGTTCTATCCACAGAGCCAAACCAGCCAGGGCAATGGTAGTATTTCTTAAAGTTAGGTCCCGGGTACGTGGCGTTCTTTTTTCTAGTCTCTCCACTTTGGTTGAAATTTCCATAATAAAACAAAACAAAAATGAGCCATCACACATAAATAAGGCGCTTTCCTTCTGACATGCAGAAATGCAACTTTGATCATTTGAGACACTTTTTCTGAGCAGAAGCCATCACTAAGCAGGAACAATTTAGAAGAGAAAACATATTCTCTGTATTGCAAAATGCTTTTTAGTTTATTAGCACTTCCCTATGATGGCAGTGCTGGCAAGAGACAGGGCCTTGTTGGTACGTCAGAGGCACCCTCTGAGGCCTTTACTCTGGTGACGGTAGGGAAATCACAATCCTTTCCTGGGACATAGACTTGTACGTATGCCCATTGTTCCTAGAGGCTGTTCACAGCATACTAATGCCTTAAAATAGTCCTTGGAGCATAAGTGATCAAATAAATGTTTGGGATGGATTTTTATTGTAAGGCTTCTTAGAACCTTTACTATGTCATCTGCATTGTGACTCCCATCAGAGGGTAACCAAATATTTCTGCGGTGTGCCTGTGACTGCTTCTTACATCAAGTGGGAGAGGACTGCCCTAGCTGGTTTGGCCCAGTGGATAGAGCATCAGCCTGTGGACCAAAGGGTCCCAGGTTCGATTCCGCTCAAGGGCACATGCCCAGGGTTGCAGGCTCGATCCCCTGTAGGGGGAGTGCAGGAGGCAGCCAATCAGTGGTTCTCTCGCATCATTGATGTTTCTTTCTCTCCCTCTCCCTTCTCTGAAATCAATAAAAATATATTTTTTAAAAAAGAGGGAGGACTCTAGGAAAAGAAAATAATCCAGATGTTTGTGTGTGTTTGTTTGTTTTAAATATATTTTTATTGATTTTAGAGAGGAAGGGGAAGTGGGGAGGGGGGAGAGAAATATCGATGTGAGAGAGGAAAACATTGATCAGCTACCTCCTACACACCTCCCTACTGGGGATCAAGCCCCCAACCCAGGCATGTGCCCCAACCAGGAATCGAACTGGTGACCCCTTGGTGCATAGGACGATGCACAGCTAACTGAGCCACATTGGCCAGGGCCAGATATTTGTTTTTATTAAGAGAGCAAACATTGCCAATGATCCACTGTAGATAGTACACTGTTCATTTTGGACATTTCATAGAGTTCAGAATTAAAAGTGACCTTGAGCACTAGCTGGGTGTTCAATCATTAGAGCATCGACCTGTGGACTGAAGGGTCTCGGGTTCAATTGCCATCAAGGGCATATATCTTGGTCATAAGCTTGACCCCTGGCCCCCCGGTCGGGGCGAGTGTGGGAGGCAACCAGTCAATGTGTCTCTCACATTGATGTTTCTTTCTTTGTCTCTCCCCCTCCCTTACATTATCTCTAAAGAATCAATGGAAAAAATAAGCTCTGGTGAGGATTAACAACAACAAAAAGTGACCTTGAAAATATTCAGGCCACTCACTACCTCATGGGAAAGTTAATCTCACTTTTGTATGGCTGTGATGTTTTGATTTAAGGCCCCTGAATTTACTCGGGTAAACGCCCTAGGTTCTGCATTTGTTCCCCAGGTGTCTATGTACCCCTCACCTTCCCAGTGATTACCTTCTGAAAGCAAGTTTTCCAAAGTGGATATGGTGTGTTGTCTGATTGCAGAAGAGCACACTCTAGTGAATCTTGCGTGCTTTTTAATGCAGCCTAAGATTTCATTAGCTCTTCCAGCAGCTGTAGCATACTGATATTTCTAGGCTAAACTTGTAGTCAGCTGTAAGTCCTTACTAACTGCTGTTAAACCAAGTCTCTCTCCTGCCAAATTACTTCCAAGAGGTGCTATAAGAAAAAGAGACTTCTGAGGCCACATGAGTTTGGGAAATGCTTCTTGGCACTTGATGAGAACTGAGCAACTAAGAGGTCATTATAGCTGTGACCACCTGTGTTGACTTATCCACCCCTTAACCTGCCCCCCAGCACCTAGCATGGGGCCTAATGCATGTGCGCTCAGTATATGTTGGTGGGATTAATGAAAGAAAAGGTGGCTGTATCTAGCATCATGTCAGCTTGTTACCTGGCCTAGTTTGTGGAAATAATCTTTCATTTTGCCTGTGGCACTTTAAAAGCTAGCTTCCTGGCCCAGTTTGGCCATTTACAGACATGATCACCCTGTGTTCTGATATCCTTTCTAAGGCCATTTACAGACATGATCACCCTGTGTTCTGATATCCTTTCTAAGGCAAGCCCTGTCCTCATTCACAAGCCTGGTCCTCAGTGTTTTCTTAGTTCTCACTAATTTTCTTCTTTCCAAATTTTTCTGTCATACTTTCTTCCTTGATTTTCCCCCATTCTAAGAACCTTCTAATAAAGCAGGAGGTAAACTCTTGTCATTTTTACTAGCAAAGCATTTTTAGAACATAAAACAAACAACTCCTCCAGGCAAAACAAAAAAAACAAGAACACAAAACACCACACATATCCCACAAGTCACCAAAGCTGTTCCTTGGCTGTCCTTGGTTTGGGGTGGGGGGGAGGGATACATTCTGTGTTTTTGTTGAGTCTTTTGTTTAAAAGATGTTTTTATTTAATTGCTCTGAGGTGAGCATAGTCATCAATGTTTATCTTGAAACAATCAGCAAATTTATAGAAAGGTGAGAAGTACAGTCTAAAGAACTTTTTCTTTGTCATTTTTCTGAATCATTCTGATGCTCCATCATTCATGATTACTTTAGTGTGTATTTTCTACAAACAAGGATTTTTCTGCATAACCACTATGTAACCACCCAAATCAGGAAATGTCACGTCCGGGTTTTTACTCTCTTAATTCTCAGACCCTATTCTGGTTTTACCATATGTCCCAATAATATCTTTTTTAGCGAAAGGATCCAGTTCAAATTCACATGTTGCATTATCAACCATTCCCACCTCAATGCTGACTCCTACAGATTGCTAGTTATTTGCAAGCTACCAAACATTTCCTTTCATAAGGAACAACACCCACAATCTTTTCTTTTCACTCCTTGGAAGCTCTTATTTTTCAGTAAACAGCAAATAATTGGTGGGGTCCTGGCTCTGTTTCCAGTCTCCCAGGTGATCATGCTGCTTTCACAGCAGCACCCAGTCTTCTTTTGCTGAAGGCAATTTGGTATCATTAAAATATCTAAAAATTTTCTTTTACCCTGTTATTCAGCTTTCATTTCGAAAGCAAATAAGCCCAGCTGCGGTGGCTCAGTGGTTGAGCATCAACCTATGAACCAGGAGGTCATGGTTCAATTCCTGGCCAGGGCACATGCTCAAGTTTCGGGCTCGATCCCCAGTAGGGGGCATGTAGGAAGCAGCCAATCATTGATTCTCTCTCATCATTCATGTTTCTATCTCTCTCTCCCTTTCCCTTCCTCTCTGAAATCAATAAAAATATATTAACAAACAAAAAAAGCAAATAAGAACTTCTTGGAGCCTTTCTTGGATTTGCAAATGCCCCTAAAAATCATATGCTCCAATGTCCATGCAACATATAACTCCTGCATGCATCTGTGTGCCTGCATGCTCAAATGTGTTGTTGTTTGTCTTTAAAAGCGTGAAGGAAGAAGTGTTTTGGAGGAACTACTTTTACCGTGTGTCCCTGATTAAGCAGTCAGCCCAGCTCACTGCTCTGGCCGCCCAGCAGCAGGCTGCCGGAAAAGAGAAGAGCCATGGCAGAGATGATGCGTTGCCACTGACAGGTATATACAGAGAACTCGCTGTGAAAAGGAGAGTTACTTTTAAAATATTCTTAATGTAGAGACCCTCATGAGCTTGTCATCTTGTATGTACCAGAAATGTCATCATTATCTAAAGGAAAACTCTTCTTTCCAGAAGATAACGCTCTCTCTGACCCAACTCACAAGTCTTCACCAAGCTTTCCTTTACTTTGCTATCTTTTTCTTTCTTCAGGTTTGGTTTTGTTCTGTTTTTAAATACGTTTGTATTAATTTCAGAGAGAGGAAGGGAGAGGGAGAGAGAGAGAAACATCAATGAAGAGAGAGAATCATTGATTGGCTGCCTCCTGCACACCCTGTACTGGAGATCAAGACCAAAACCCAGGCATGTGCCTTGACCAGGAATTGAACCAGTGAACCAGTGACTTCTTGGTTCAAGGGTCAATGCTCAACCACTGACCCACACCAGCTAGGCTATTTTGTTATATTTTTAACATTTCATGACTATCTGCATTGTATAGGTACTATTTACAACTGGAGACTTTTCCATTCATGGAATTTTAAATAATTATGCATACTGGTGTGTCCTAAGGGTCGGGTTGTTCAGACCACTTATGTAATGACATTGCTCTGCACAGTGAAAATTGGCATTTTATATGTAGATGTGTATATGAATCCAAGTGCCTATCATTCGTTTGTATTTCCTTTTATTAAATTTTTTGGAAAATGCAATTTTACCAAATACTGCCCTTGTAACAAAAAGGGCGTAAGACAGGGCTCATTAAAGACTGTATTATCTAGTAAGGTTTATAAGATAGCAAAATGTAGCCATGAGAAAAGGAGAAGCTGTAATTGAGCATTGCACTTTACTTTGAACTTTCCAGCATTTGTGACAAGATGAAAACTTGGTAAATAACTTAATTCTCGTTATCCTAAAAGAATATTCTTTGATGGATTTTGCTAACACTGAAGTAAAAAAATTTATTTCCTGCTGACAGTCTTGTATAAGGGGCATCGAATATGATGACATGTTTAAGAAATCCCCAAAAGGAAGAGGTTGAGATGGTTTCACCTGGCTATTTCTTATAATAATGTAAAAAGTGAAAACATAACATTAAAAGTTCATTTCTGTAAAGTATCTAGTGTAATTAAACTTGTTGACTTTTTAGTTGTCATTATTATGTGTATTTAGAATTGAATCAAGCAATTATTGTCTCTTTTATTCTCACTTCTTAGAGGCAGTACGGCCCAAAACACCACCTGTCGTAATCAAATCTCAGCTTAAAACTCAAGAGGTAATACAGTTTTACATTGTACCTAGTAGTTGATGCCTGGAAATGAAGTCACTGTGTTAACTATCTGAGATACCATTTCAAATGACTTATGAATACAGGTCTTATCTGAAGAAGAGGGGTCCAGTACTTGTATAGTTAAGGACCTACAGCTCAGACTCGAGGCGATTCCCTGGCATAAATCATTCTAGGTGTGCTCATCGGGGATTGGACAGAATGATTGGAGTGATCCAAACTGTGAATGAATACAATAGATTCAGGTTGTAACTTGTTTCATTACCAATGAACTGTGGAGGTTAGAAGGTTGGAGAGCAGTGATTATTGGATTAGCAGAGGGAGGAAACGAAAATGATGTTGTATTAAACTGTGAGATGACCATGAACAAGAAGTCTAGCCTATAAAGGTTGCTTAGAAAACTGTTTCCAGAGCTTATTTGTTGCATTTCAGGATGAAGAGGAGATCTCTACCAGCCCAGGCGTTTCTGAGTTTGTCAGTGACGCCTTCGATGCCTGTAACTTAGATCAAGAGGATCTGAGGAAGGAAATGGAACAACTGGTGCTTGACAAAAAGCAGGAGGAGACAACCGTATTAGAAGGTACAAAACAAAATAACTGTTCTGTTCCCCAATTCGGATGTTTATTGTAGGTCGTTATTATGAAGCAGGTGTACAAAAATATGCTATAACTTTTGCATTAGAATTGTTTCTCTGTTCACTAGAAGGATTCTAGCACGCATGACCAGATCTCACGCCCCTGTGCTCTAAACATGCACAGAAGCATAGAGAGGAGAAACTGAGGCCCAGTGATGCATCCCAGGCCTCTCAGCCCAAGGACAAGTGGCCAGGATTAGAGAAGAAAGCAAGTACTCCTTTCATGTGGAGACGTTGCCCTCTGGCGCTCTGCTTTAAAAGCAGGCATCCTCCTTAGGTTTATGCTTGTATCTAGAAGCTTCTTTTACCAGCTGCTGTGTGCCACAAAAGCATTGCTTCTGGGAAGAAGCAGGCTGCCTCTAAAATACTAAAGTAATTTGGAAAAAAAGTGCAAGCAGGGGGTTGCTTTCTTTGACATATCAGGACAAATTACTGGCTTTCTACTAGATAAAAAGCAAAGGCTGCCTGTCAGTGTGGCTCAGTGGTTGAGTGATGACCCATGCACCAAGAGGCTGCCAGTTTGATTCCTGGTCAGGGCACATGCCTGGGTTGTGAGCTAGATCCCCAATGGGGGTGTACAGGAGGCAGCCTATCGATGTTTCCCTTTTCATCAGTGTTTATCTCTCTCCCTCTCCCTTCCTCTCTCTGTAAAAATCAACTAAAAATCTTAAAAAAAAAAAAAAAGGCCTGAGCTCATCATTAGATGAAGAGTGTTTCTTAAAGCCTTCTGAGACTTACAATTTACCGAGTTGGCTATAGGTTGTGCAGAAAACACCGGTCAGAAAACTGGCCCGCCTCCCAAAGGCTAGCTCCTGGCTGTTCCAGAGAGCTGTTCTTTCTCTGAATCCCTGCCCTACTTGTAATTTGGGCCACTTAATGTTCTTTTCTATAGTAGTTGCCTTGGCTCTCCAGCTAAATTGTAGGTTCCTCAAGGGCCGTTACACCTTGTCCGGCTGTCCCCTACAGTACCTAACATGGAGCCTGGCCCCCAGTAAGCAATTAGTAAACATTGCTGGGATTGATTGGTTGTTACGCAATACACTTATTTTCCCTTGAGGTCACTGCTGCAAAAAAATTAAAACATTTGGTTATTATTTTCTCTATAGCTCTTAAGTTTGCTTATTTTTAAAAGCTTTAGTTTTTAAATAGCTGGTTTATTTTGTTTTCTCACCATTTTATAACACTGTACTGCAGATGCTTTGTTCTTTGCATACGTACACACACAGGTATATTGAGTGTTCAAGTGGAAAGTTGCAGCTCTAAACCTCAACATGGAAGACAAGTGTGAGAGCTCAGATGGAGCCCACATGAGGGGCCAGGCTTCAGCAAGAGACCGCCTGACTTCTTGTCACTTTGAGGCAGGAGTGAGGAACCTTTTTTCTGCCAAGGGCCATTTGGATATTTATAACATCGTTCACTTAAAATAATTCTCTTTATAAATTTATGTTGTTATGAAAAAAGCTCCTAGATTTATTGAATTTCGAGTCCTACCATCGGTTGCCTTGGCAGGGCCAGACAAAATGATTTTGTGGGCCTTATGTACCCCACCCCTGTTCTAGGGAGACTACTGCTAAAGTGGTTAAGCACAGGCTGTGGAACCTACAGATCTGGTTCCCTATGTATGTCTCGCTGTCAAGCTGTGTGATCTTGGGCAAGTCCCTTAACCTCTCTCAGCCTCCATTTCCCCATCTGTAAAATGTACACAACAGTGGTATCTAGTCAATGGATTATTCTAAGGAAGAAAAAAAGTGATAGGTAGAGAATGGTTGGTGCAGTGCCTAACTTAGTAAGTGCTCAAGAAATGTTCGCTGTCTTTGCTATCATTATCATCATTGTTAATGGTAAAAATTAATTTGCAACCAAATATTAATTATCAATTATCCAGTTAAATTGAAGGAAAAGCAGAGGTCTAGGTAAAGCAAAATAATACCCCAAATCTACTGACAACATCTGATACCTTTGGGTCTACAATTAACCAATTTATCTTTCAATCATTTCTCTTGGTTACTGTTAAAATTTGCTCAATTTTTCTGAGCACACGTGGTGAGGAAGCCTAAGATAATCAAAATGATCATGGCTAGGACTTACACGGGTAAGTATAGTTGAATTGTTGAAGCCAGCATGATAAATTCAGAGAGAATCTTTTCCTTCTCATCTGTTTCTTTTAGATGATTCTACAGATTGGGAAAAGGAACTACAGCAGGAACTTCAAGAATATGAAGTGGTGACAGAATCAGAGAAACGAGATGAAAACTGGGATAAGGAAATAGAGAAATTGCTGCAGGAAGAAAATTAACTGTTTACTTAAATAAGAATCCTTAACATTCTGTAACTGACATTAAATTCTAGCTGGTAACCCTCGTTGAATCAAAAGGCACAAAGAGTATAACTTTATGAAACTCAAAATTATTCTTTTTTCACATTGAAACTTGCCTCTTTAAAAAATATATAGAACAGTTATTCTAATCATTAAAAAGGGATGCTTTATGTAATATTCCTTTAATATAAATCTAGTTAGAGATGATGTTCTTATGGTCAATATTGATATCTTAGCCACAGAAACACAAGTAAAATTTTAGAATTTTGTTTCTGTGAGATCACAAATCTTCAACTGTCGTTTTCTAAACATTTGTACTTCTTGTTGCACTTTTGTTGATACACTTATGTTAAAGTATTTAATGGATTGATAACTATCAAAATTACCAAATAGTACCAAAGAACTTAAGAGGAAGCACTTTTGGAACTGTTTTCTTGGTAAGTATTTTCTACAATTCCATCTGGAGGCCAAAAGATAAAATAATCCTGTTGATTTTAAAGGTATAAACATCACGAGATTTGCCCTGGCCGGTGTGGTTCATTTGGTTGGGCATTGTCCAGTTAACCAAAAGGTTGTCACTTTGATTCCTGGTCAGGGCACATGCATGGGTTTCTCAGGCTTCCATCCCCAATAGGGGGTGTGCAAGAAGCAGCTGATCAATGTTTCTCTTTCACATTGATGTTTCCCTCTGTCTCCCTCTCCCTCCCTCTGTCTTCAAAAGTCAGTAAAAAATCTTTTTCTTTCTTTTTTAAATCACACAATTTGACGAGAAGCACTGTGCAGAAATATTTTTTTCTCTGGGGCCTTTTCTTTCTCATTTCTTTTTAACTATACCACATATAATAATACTGTTTTTCTAAATTTCTCATCATGGCTTTTATAAAAAGCAGGGCCTCTCATTTTTTTTTGTATTAATGACCATCAAAAGCCTGATCACCTTAAAGTCTCTTGTTCTTGTTTAAATTGTCACCACATAGAAATAACTTTGTCTTAATTAAACTGTCAGTCCTCATAAAATTGTGTTCCTCTGAGTACAACTTATGGAACGTCATTGATCAGTCCTACTTGCATTCTGCTAAACTAGAAGATGGTTATTTTAAAAGAACATGGTGGCTTAACTTCCAAGGCATTTGCTTCCCGAACCCTTCATATTTTTCAAGGAGCCTTTATTTCATAAAGGGGAATAGGATTAAGACAATTCTTTATAAGAAAAATATACACATTAGCCTGTGGTCTTCTGACAAATGTATAGTCAACGAGAGAACTGAGTGTGGGTCCAAGCGTTCATTATTCTTATGTTTGTAGTTTGGGATACACATGTGTGAATGAGCCAGGCTGTCCTCAGCTAGGATGACTTGAATTGTAGCAATAAACTCACATACTCTAGCCAGTTTGGCTCAGTGGATAGAGTGTCGGCCCTCAGACTGAGGGGTCCTGGGTTCAATTCCAGTCAAGGGCACATATCTCAGTTGCAGGCTGGATCCCCTACCTGGGAGGCAACCAAGACACATCGATGTTTCTCTCTATCTCTCCCCCTCTTCTCTACTCTGAAAATCAATGGAAAAATGTATCCTTGGGTGAGGATTGAAAAATAAACTCACATACTCATGAAACCACTGACTCGTTATCAAGAGATTTCCACTGTGTTGCCACAGTTGCTGATTACTGAGTTTGGGTTCACAGATGATAATTGGCAGTTTCTGAAATAATGCTATTAAAGGGAAAGGTTTGTTTATTTGTTCAAACAGAGTTTGCTGGAGGGATAGAAACTTGCTAAATGTTTTGAAGTTGCTGAAAATCCTAGATATAAGCAGATCAGGATATGACAGTGCTTGGCTCTTAGTATATGCTCTAAAATTGTTATTGGTGAATGTTGAATAAATACCAGAAAAAGGTTTTAGAGAAAGTTAAAAACCTGAAGTGACAATAGAAGAATGTTACTGTTATTATTGTCAATTTTATGTGATATTCATTGCATTTAAAAACAACCTAATTGTGCATTGCCCTGTGAGGGGGAAAAAAGGATAAAATAAGACTATACACAGCATAAAAATAGGCTGTATTTTTATGGATTCATCAAGGAGTAAAATGTTCTTTTGTAAATTATACAGGTAACTGAAGTGTTACTCCTTTAAAGGGCAAAATGATTTGTAACCATGTTTGGTGGAAAATTTCTGAGTAATACATGCCTAGGGCTTAGCCAACAAGGTACACTGAGCATAATAAACACACATAAACTTCACAGAATGTTCAAATATGTACATACTTCATCACACTACTCACTGCTGGCTCAGGAACCAGTATGAGCTGCCTGTCCTGGGAGTTTGTTAGAAATGCAGGGTCTCGGGCCCTGCCCCACACCTGCTGGTCTAGACTCCATGGAAGTTACAATGGTCTTTAAGGGTGAAATGCACTGGACTGATGTACTGATGCAGTTGAGAATTCTGGTGCTTTTTACTTTTTGCCGAACCACTATCATCCTTGGCTGACAGTATCTTTCTAGTTACAAGTGCCTCCTCTGCTGTTCAGTCGGTACTCACTGCCCACTTCCTTTCCACACTGCCAAATTAAGAGGAGCCAAGTCCCTAGGGGAACACAAATAATCCTGTGAAATCAGATGTTTCTCATATGCACATTTCTAAGGAAAATGATGACACTAAGAAGCACAGAAATGAGGCTCTTGGAAACATTTTACGTGTTTGAGACATTTCTCTGAGCTGCTCGGTGGCATCCAAGGCCTGATGCACCCTGTAGGCTGTAAAGGATGAATGGCCTCCTGTGTGGCATGTTTATGCACATGAAATCAAATACAGAGATAGTTGAAAGGTAGTAGAACATCAAGCTAAGTCTTTAAAGCCTGCTTTAGGTGCATGGAGCAATATTATACAAGAAATAACATCTACTTTTTTATGGTTATAGCAGTTTGTGGCAAGCATGTCAAATCCTCAGCTGAGTTGACCAGTCTTAGCAGGAGGTTGTGCTCTGCTATGGCAGACTCAGGTACATTGTCACAGTTTCCTTATATACTCAAAAGTGGGAAATCTCAATTTGTAATTTGTGAAATGTTAAACTACAGAAGCTTTTAGGAAATAAAGCAGCAGTTATACTTGTACTCACAGTGCTTTCAAATGCGCTATACCCAAGATGGTTTTCCACGATCAAAATAGTGTTATAAAGAGGATTTTAGAACATGTTAAAGGTTTACCAAAAGAAAACTAATGATTACATTCAACTTGCAATATTTTATTTGCTTCGACTGCTTTGCTATAAAAGCTAGGACTCTGCTTCTATAATTTAAATAATTTGATAGGGTTGCTCTTTCTGGTACTAAATTTTTTCCTCCATTTTTTTTTTTTTTAAATATATTTTATTGATTTTTTTACAGAGAGGAAGGGAGAGAGATAGAGAGTTAGAAACATCGATGAGAGAGAAACATCGATCAGCTGCCTCCTGCACATCTCCCACTGGGGATATGCCCGCAACCCAGGCACATGCCCTTGACCGGAATCGAACCTGGGACCCTTCAGTCCACAGGCCGACGCTCTATCCACTGAGCCAAACCGGTTTCGGCTTTTCCTCCATTTTTAAGTAAACATTTTTCAACTATAAAATAGGGGAGTTTAATTTTAGCAAATTTTGTTTTTGGCTTTTAAAATTATAAGTGGTAGAAATTTTGATATAGTTTATATAATCAGTTTTATTCAGAAGAAAACAGGCTATTTTAATAAGTGATTACTTCTATACATTGATAAGAAAAAGTTACAAAATGCATGTTACAGTACCCAAAAATGATGACAAATATGCAGGGTGTCTATATATATATATATATATATATATATATATATATATATATATATATATATATATACACATACACACACACACACACACACACACACACACACACACTTTAACTGCTGATAGCTCAATTGATGTTTCTTTTCAGATTTAACCCATTGGAATTAATTATTCAAAGTGTGTATATATTTTTGGGACACCCTTTATATTAATCAAGCTTTGATCACATGCAGTTATGTATTTCTTACAAATCCAAATCATCAAACTATCTGGTCTTCACACTATGGGATTTGTTTAGATAAAGGCATTTATGATTTCAGTTGTTAAACTTTATTTTTTTACAGTACTTATTCAATGTGTCCTGATTTATTTCCAATATGGAAAACTATGTTATATTTATTCTGAAGAAATAAACCTCACTTTTAGTGGTAAGATATGTTATAATGGTTTTTCCTGAATAACTAAAAATTCTATTCTGGTAAAGAGGGCCTGCAAATATTTCAGTTATCCGGTATGTAGGCTCCTATTGTTAGAATTAAAACTGCTTTGAAATAGTGTTAAATCTTAACACATTTTACTTTCATTGTAGACTTCTACTCAAATGCAGTAGGTTGTCCATAATAAAGGTCATTCCAATTCACAGTCAGTAGGACTGTTCTGACTCAGACTTATTGTGGGATTGTTCCCTCCTCCAGTAGTGATGATATAGAGGGGTGGGCAAAAATAGGTTTACAGTTATAATACAAATAATACAATAATATAAATAACTAGAGGGCCGGTGCATGAATTCGTGTATGGGTGGAGTCCCTCGGCCTGGCTGGCAGTCAGGGTCGATGGGGGCCATCTCACCCAGTCCCAGTTGGGACCGGCCAGCTGGAGGGAGGGACCGTGGGAGGTTGGCTGTGGAAGCGCACTGACCACCAGGGGGCAGCGCCTACGTTGAGCGTCTGCTCCCTGGTGGTCAGTGTGCGCCATAGTTACTGTCTGATCATAACTATCACTTAGGCTTTTATATGTATAGACTAGAGGCCTGGTGCTTGACATTTGTGCACGGGGGTGGGGGGGGGTGTCCCTCAGCCCAGCCTGCGCCTTCTTGCAATCCAGGACCCCACAGGGAGCAGGCCTAAGCCAGCAGTTGGACATCCCTTTCGCAGTCCGGGGCTCGTGCAGTCCAGGACCCCTCTCTCCTTACTGCCCGCCTAAAAGGGAGGCAAGGGAGGCTCCTGCCACCACCGCTGTGCTCACCAGCTGTGAGCCCAGCTTCTGGCTGAGCAGCACTCCCCTTGTGGGAGCACACTGACCACCAGGGGGCAGCTCCTGCATTGAGTGTCTCCCCCTGGTGGTCAGTGCGCATCATAGCAAACGGTTGTTCTGCCATTCAGAACATTTGCGTATTAGGATTTTATTATATGGGATAATATAAGAATAAGCTCTGTTTCAGGTACTCACAACTGTAAACCTACTTTTGGCCATGCCATATATTGATCTATCTTGTTCTTTCCTAATAACTATGATGAGCACTGTCTGCTGGCTAGAGCTAACACTCAACAAGGTTAACCAGATCCTGTAAGAATTAAGCCTGTTCTCAATAAAGCTGTAAAATTAAACCCGTGAACTAGTAAGTAGAAATTATAGTTCAGTTCCTAATGGAGAATTTTGGTTATTGCTAAAGTATGCACATTATAATCATAATAATAGCCATTAAGTGTCCAATATTCTCTGCCATTACTGCACTTAGACACTAATCCAGATAGAGCAAAATGGCTATATCACACGACAATTTTAACTCTTTCATGGAGATTGCAGGGTATAAAAGTGATGTGAGAACTGAGCTAAATTGTATGCCCCTATCAAATGAATGTGGCACATGAATACAATAGTGCCACTGCAAAATTAGTATAAAGTGTTCCTTGTTAATTGAATTAACAATGCATGCTTGTGAAATTAAGGCATGAAAATAGGTAACACTAAAAATTTGGACAACACAAAAGTAATTTCATAAGAACACTGTGTTGGATGTCTTAATGTCCACATTGCCATGCTTTTCTTTTCATATATATTTTTATGGATTTCAGAGAGGAAGAGAGAGAGAGAAACATCAATGATGCGCTGGCCAACATGGCTCAGTGGTTGAGTGCCAACCTATGAACTAGGAGGTCACAGTTCGATGCCCTGTCAGGGCACATGCCCGGGTTGCGGGCTCAATTCCCAGTGGGGGG